CAAAGCACTTGAACTCTTAACCGTCAAATACATTTAAAGTTAAAATATGCAACACTTTATATATATGAAAAATAATTTGGTTGGTACGGAAATACCGTGGCATTTAAAACCTTGTACCATTACCGTACCATTATTAATTAATTGGTACGGTACTACCAACCAAACATGTTGGCTACCAAACAGAGGCGTAGCTATGTTGATTGAAGGTGGGTCCTAGGACCACCTATTTTTCTTAATAATAATAGAAGGATTATATTAAAAAAAATAAGAACTACCTTATAATTTATAAAAGACCTACCTTATAATGTTTACGAATGTATGAAGCTCATATTTTATATAATCTAGTCCACTTAGTGTAGCCCAATGAATCAATCCACTTAAAAGTTATTCATTACCCAATAGCCTAACCCATTTAAAATTAAATAAAAAAATCGAGAAAAGCTCTTAAGAGATGCTTGAACCTTGATCGTGGTCGACATCTCTTAACATTGAATGCTTGATGTGGTTTCTCGCCTGGTCGATCATTCCCGCTGTCCACTAGCCACCGTCGCCCCACAGGAAGGTGCCACCTCCTCTGCCCTCATACCCTATACACAACAAAACAAGTGATCAATTTTGAATGATAGTTTAGTGTTGTATATTGAAAAAAAAAATGTTTTAGAAGTATCGATAATGATATAATTATGAATATATTTCAAAATATAAGACCTCGTAAGTTAAATTATAAGAACTTTATTATAACTATTGAAGTTATGTTTAAATATTTTAAGTCATATGGCTCGACTCGCAACCACTAGTATTTATTGCACTTTCATTTTTTTCGGTTTCATTTACATAAGGAACCATGTGGTTTTCGGCTCTAGATTCGCCACTGCTACCAAACATATTGGCTACCAACATAATTGGTTCGGTTGGTACACATGTTGGTTGGTTTTCCATGGTACATATTTGCCACCCCTACTATAACCTAGTAATATTTATATATGTCGTTGCAAATCTTTTCATTTTTTAAAAGTAAACAATACATCATCCACATTTTTCATTTATTTATGATAGATTCAAAATGATAGCAATATCTTTTTGATGATGTTTTAGCTGCGGGAAAACAAACAATTTAAGTGAGTGGCTTATTTCCAAAACTTTTGTTGACATATTGACCAATAGCAACCAAATATCAACTGCACTTCCTTAAAAGAACCTCACTGATTAATTTTTCAAAGTTGAGATAGGACGATCCACCAATAGCAACAGCTTCTTCTGCTTCCTTCTTCCACTCCAAAGCCTTACTTTTCATAATCTTCCCTTTCTTCCCATCCATCATATCCCTCACCTGAGCCTCCACCTCCTCTCTCTTAACATCTGTATCAATTTCCATTCCAATCCCCCACTCTACATAACTATACCGACAATTTGTTTGTTACTCTGCAAAAAAGGCCAACAAATCACTGGAACACCGCTGCTAATACTCTCAATAGTTGAGTTCCATCCACTGTGAGTCAAGAATACCCCGATTGCTGGATGTTTCAAAACCTTCATATGGAGACCAATAAAGAAGCTTATCAATGTCATGATTAGAAAATAGCCATGAAACGCAAATGTAGTCAAACAAGGTTAAATGATTTAAATATACGTTCAATAAATTTCTATTCATCTTTGTATTATTACTTTGTTTTTATGTGAAAGTTTTCTAGATTTTAAAAAATGTTACATAAAGTACCTGTTCTTGAGGACACCAACTAGTCACCAAGCCTCTCTCTTTTGTCTCATCCACAAACTCTGGTGGCATCAAGGCCTCTTTGCCTCCGACAATGTCCGGCCTAGTTATCCACAAAAAATTCTTCTTGCTATTAGCAAGCCCCCACCCAAACTCGATGAGTTGTTCCTTTGTCATTACTGTAATACTTCCAAAGTTCACGTAAATAACTGAGCCAATATCTTTTGTGTCTAGCCACTTGATGCAACTATCATCTTCTTTCCAAAGGTTGGACCCAATATCTTTGAGCCGATCATCATGAATATGTTGTTGCATCAAGTGTAGTGGGCCTATGGTGTAGGTTCGTGGGTTTATTTCAATTAAAGGGTTAACACTATCTTGTTCTAAGGCATCAAATGTGTTGAGCACAATAGCCGTGCCTCTAGGAAGAGTTTCTGCTTCGGTCATAAGATAGGTGAACAAGATGTCGTTTATGTCTGTGGTTCTAATGAAGCTCGGTAAATCCCTTAGCCGTATGTTATTCATTCCAGGAATCCAATCCAAGCTTGTTTCCAAATACCCATTTGTTATGTCGCTCATATCTGTAACATTTAGTTAATTACCATTGTGCATACAAACTTACATTCCTAATTTAACAATAGATAGATTATCACGGTAAATAGTTTAATGAGATAGAACTAGTAATTGGCAAATGGACTAAACTAACCATAGTTAGAATGTTAACTTGACATTCAATAGATTTAGAGTTAAATAAAATGAAATATACTCAAAAGGAAAAAATTAAACCTTTCATTCCTTTAGAATACATTTTATTTGTATTTTATAAAGTTTAATTAGTAGACTCTATATAAAATGAAATAGTAAAATTGTATAAAAAATAAAATATTATGTAACACTACACTAAAATTTATACATTTCAGTTAACTGTGGATGCTCTTATTTCAAATCATATTCAAAAAAACCTGACATGCTTAAATAATTAATGTTTAATGTGATATCCTTAACTGAAATTACATATTTAATTAATGAAATGGTTAAAGCTTTAAAATAATACCGCTTAAAATTCCATATCCATTGACCAATGCGACAAAGGATGCCCACTTGACATCTCGACATCTCCGTTTATATTGGTGAACATGAAATACTCAATTTAGTTTTTAGTATTACAGTAAAAAAATTAATTACTTTATTGCACACGGCTTATCCAATGTTTGGACCGACTCTAAGGTAGTGTTTGTTTTTTGTCTGCAGATTTGTGTGGCCTTTTCTGTCTGTGCCGTGCAGACCACGCGCAGACATTAGCCTTCGCAGACTGTTTGTTTTTTTGAAGACTGCAGACCTAAAAATGTCTGCGCGCCCTCTTCTTGGCGCAGATGTAGACCAGAGTCTTCTAACATCTTCAGACATCTTCTAGGCTAAAAAAACATATATATCTTTATTTTTTAAGTTTTTTTTTAATTTATATTTTTTCCAACTTTATTAATGATAAACAATTTGAAAAAAAAAATTACAAAACTTAAAAAAAAACGTTCGATGATACAAACATGATATTTTTGACAAATTTATAAATAAAGATTTATTACAATAATAGTTGTTAAAGTTGTTTATATAAATATGAAAAAAAAAATCATAATATATTCTTATATTTTTTTGCCAAATTTTGTAAAACATTATTTAATACAGTATCGTCAATTTCTCGAGAAAAAAATATTTATGGTACATTTTTAATGAATTTAATTGAAAAAATCGAAGTTTATTTCCATCCATTTATGTATCAAATTCTTTGATCACTAATTATAATGTTTAGTTATAACTTTACAACCAAAGTTATTGGTTTTATCAAATATATACGTTAATTCATACCATTTTTATTTTTATTTTTTATACAATAATACATAAAAGTTAACTACATTCGTTAATTATTTATAACAAAGTCATAAAAATATTAAAAAATCACTTTGAAGTTTAAAAAAATCAGTTTATTTAAATTTCAGTTTATTTTAGTAGCCCGCAGATGTTAAAAAAACAAACAGTCTTCTTTTTTCAGACTGCAGACAGTTGGTCCACCTCTTCTACTGAAGAGGTCTACACATGTGGTCCGCAGACTATATACATTTTGCCTCAGGAAAAACAAACCACACCGTAAGTGGGGGCACATCGGATATGATACAACTAAGAGAAACACAATATGGACAATAATTTTACCTTTGAGGGGAGTATACCCCCTCTGAAGAAGTTCACGATAGCGAGTGTAACCCAAAAGGCCGCAGGCACTTGGGGTCCAGAACAGTACTTCCGGCAACCCAAACCTCTCGGCAGCTTTAAGCGTAAAGCTCATGCACCCATCGGATATAATACAGCTCACTGGGGGCACATCGGACTCTTCACCACCATTAAGCTTAGTGATAAGCTCACAGAAAGGTTCCAGACTGTGCTTAGGAACAGATTCACAGATGTCAGGGATTGACTGGGTGGCTTCAGTGTCAGATGGCGGAAGACCATCGGGAATGGAGTGAAAACGAAAACTTGGGAGGCCGTCCAAGGAAGAAGGACCTCGGGATCTGAGCAGGCGCTTATGGTTGTAGTGGGTGTTGACGAAGGAGATATGGAAGCCCTTGAAGTGAAGGAGCTTCGCAAGTTTCATCATGGGGTTGATGTGGCCTTGTGCTGGATAGGGGATACATATGGCATGTGGCTTCCCCAGTTCTGCTTCAGAACCCATCTGAGGCAAATATGCAATACCTCTTTGTGTTTAGTGAGAGGGAAGGAAAGCAGTGTTGTTGGAATTTATACGAAGGTCAGTATGGGCAAAACGTGAGTTTTGCTTTGAAGTTTGACATGGTTTAATCGAAGACCTCGTTCACGATATTATACAATATAAAAACCCATGTGCTTTTTGAAAAGTTTATTTTTAATTATTTATCCACAATTATTATCTATATTTTTTATAAGTATATATTATATAAATAGTTTTATATATTTGTGATAAATGATTCTATATAGCCAAAGTTCTACAAAATTCGTAATGGCTAATCTTTAACAAAATGTCGTCTTAAAGTCATTTGTACATAAAAATGAAAAATAGTAGAAAATGCATATAAAATTATTAATTATATACAAAATTATCGCCTTAAGTCACCCCTTATAATCGACGTGACTTGTCACGGCTTGAAAAAATTTGAGGTTTGATATTGTCGTCAAGTAACGCCTAACATTATTTAGAACCTTGATATTTGCAGTGTTTTCTTTAAAATGCTTTTAACTTTAAAATTAAATTACCAACTTACTCTTAATCCCTCTTTCACCCAATAAAATACTATTATCGTTTTAATTTTTAATTACACATGGATTTTTTTCGTTTCTATCGTAAAAAAGTATTCATAATTAACTATTATATTAATATGCTAATAAATACTCCACTCATTCATTAAAATATCACTTTGCAATTAAATATTATATTAAATGGTTTAAAATGTACATAAGTGCAAAAATGATCTCTTTTGTATGTAATTTTTTCAGAGTTTTGGTCCAAACCTTGACTTTTATGGATTGGTGGTTTTTTTGACCATATTTGATTGTGATTTTGGTCATTCGGAAAACTGAAAAGACTAAAATGTCTTTCTGACACATTTTTTATATTTCCTTTATTTAATTTAAATGTTTTATTAATTAAAAATATCGGGTCCACCTCTCTCTCTCTCTCTCTCCCTCTCTCTCTCATTTGACATTTGCAGATTTGAGAACTAGTGAAGCTATCATTCCCTCGATTACTCGTCCAACCGAAGGCCTATGTGTGTGAGTATGTCGATTTCAACAACTTCTACCATGGATTTGCAGGTGTGTATGTGTGTGTGTGTGTCGATTTCAACAACCACCTTCGTCGTCGTGGGCTACCCCCGAAATAGGTAGCTGAAGCTTCCAATCATAAGATCTGGACATGAAGTTTCCAATTTACAAGACCTGGATATCAAATATTTCTCTCTCTGCGGTTATCCGTATTTCTTTTCCTTACCACAAATCTATCACTGGCATCCATCGATTTGTTCCAACCATCGGTTTAACCATCATGTGTTGCATTTAAGACCCTCTCTTCGGAATAAAAAACTCACACGTAGTTAGGGCTTGATGGGTAGTAGATCGTTTAGAAGAAAAAAAAAGATGCAATTAAGTTCGATACAAGGTTTCAGATTTTGATGTAGTTCTGATTTTTTTTAATACTTGGATTGAAATCATCGATTTGTTCACACCAATTACAAGGAATATAAGGAAATGGGGCTAAGTTGATAATAAACCCTTATCATCTGTGTGGGTTTTTCTCACGATTTCAATAGATTTTGATATCAAAATTTGATTTTTGTTAGGTTGAACTTTTAATTCTGAGTTCAATTTTAATATTAGGTTTGATTATAGTTTAGGGTTTAGTCGGATAAGACGCAGTGGTTTGATTTTAGATAGTGATGATAGTTGTTGTGGGGTAATAGGCAGCGATGTTTATAGCTTCTGAAAGTATTAAAGTTGAAGCTACTGCAATCGTCAATGTAGAAGATGATGAACGGTACAAGCCCCAATTAGGTATGCACATATCTGCTCATTTTTTTTCCAGATATTTTGATTTGGAAGGGAAGATGAAGTTCATCACAACCAACCATCACCACAAGAGACTTATTTTGTTCTTCACCAGCTTCATCTTTTTCCATATTTATATTCTTCCATGGATTTAAAAAAAGTAGGAGAAGGGAAACATAAATATTGGGTAGGGGTTGCGGACAAAGATTTGGGTTGTAGGTTGTGTAATAATGGTGGTTATTGGTAGGTTTAGTTGCAGGGAACAAGAACAATGTGAAAAGAGTGTGTGTTCTTGATTGTATGGGTATGTATGTGTTCTCGGGTATCAACACACACACACACACATATATATATATATATA